ATATGGAGTTTATATACTTCAACCTAAAATGATTATTTCCCAAATAGGAGAAGTTTCTAAAAAAACATAAGGCTCTATTTATCTATGAATGAATTATGTAATTGAAAAATGCATCTTATAATTAGAATAACATCAGCTTATAAACTATACAAAATATTAGAAGTTCTTGCTTGGGATGAAAATCTCCTTTATCAGTATCCCATACCTGTAAGCAGCAGATGAACCCCTACTCTTGCTTCTACTACATTTACCTGAACACTGCTTATGTCATTGCTGGGCTCCCCTCCCTCCAGTTTTTGCCAATCCTCATACCTCTTCACTTCTGGTACTGCAACTCCCTTACCAATCCTATACACCAGAGATTTACCAAAAGTGCCTCCTCTCTCTGCAGGGATTCGGGACGGAGGGCTGGAGAGAAAGGTTGATGGTATCCCAAGCTCTAGGAGCACTTACATGACATAATTCCAGAAAGTTTATTTATTTACTATATACCTGAAATAATAGCTATTCATTTAATTCTGAGTTCAGTTTCATAAGTAACTTAAGAACCTAATCACTGTAAATCACATTGTTTTTATATAAAACTTTGCTCAGAATTCTAAATTGACTTGAAAAGACAAAAAAGGCACTGTAAACACTTGGAGAGCCTTATCTTTACCTCCAGGTAAGTTGCATTCAGGGGCTCATCACAAAACCACTTCCTTAATGTAGAATTTGTGCAAGAACATGGCACCTGTTCTGAATTTTCTTTATTTGTATTCTTTATCCAATCTGTGTAATTGTACTGGCCACAACACTGCAACTAGAAAAATAATTCTATGAATTGTACTATAAAATATTAAAAATGCAGTTAATTATGATTCCCATGCACAATAAAGTGGTTTTTGTGAAGAAAATTTATTATTCTCCATTGGAATGTAGTGAATTGCAAATATAAGCATAGTTTTGTTGGTTTAATCCATCACTTTGTTGCTACTATTGTTGATGTTAATCAGAACGAAAGACCTTTAAATATAAGTGGGCTATGTTTGGATGAAACTGTTAGATCTGAACTTAGCATAAAGGAACCCAGGATGGAAGGCATATCTGATTTACTGAAGCTACGAACTACGTTTGAACCAGAATACAGACGAGAGAATCACTGTAGCCATATCTTCCTCCTCACTCTAGCAGTTCTCTTTATATTTATCCCCAAAATGCTACCATATGTATTTAATATACATAAAGAGATTCAGGGTTCTTTTTATTCTCTTAGGATTAATGTAAGATGTTAACTTCCAATTTTGTATTGTGTGAAAAATGGCCACAGAGAACCAAAAAAGATGATAAGGCAAATAGCCATAGAAATGATAAAACGTTTAAGAAATATCTCACTTCCAATCCTATAAAGTTGAATTGAAAGGATGTGAAAGAATCAACTTCTGTATTTGTCACCAAGACTATGAGACAAAATTGGAGTGGCTATTTCATTGTTTTCTAATCTTGTTATTAAAAGCTATCACATCAGTCCTGCCTATGACACAATATGTACCAACAATCTTGGAAATGAATGACTAAAATAATGCTTTAGAGTTTGGGTACTGAAAATGAGTTTGATCGAACCTATATGTACTATCTCAACTACACTCATGACTGGAACTATAAACTTGATTCTCATTAATAATAGTGATGTCATACATAGAACTGTTTTCCTGTTTATCAGTTTATGTCCATAGGAGGGTTTGATTCTCTGCCATCAGTCCTAATGCAATCTAAAAAAGCAATACATGTACATGTCACACATATATATCAGAGAAAAAAAAGACGAGTGAAAGCATTTATAATTATATTTCAATTCTCCTAAAATGCCTTGCTGTTAATATATACACCAAAAATAATAACTATTTTTATGTGGGGCACCTAGTATAGTAGTTAAGAGTACAACATCTGGTGCTACATTTTCTGGAATTGAATCTTGGCTCTGCCACTTAATTAGCTGTGTGTCCCTGGGTAAGGTACTATCTATAAAATGAGGATAATAGTTCTTACTTTTTTGGGTTGGAAGGATTAAATGAGTTAATACAGGCAAAGCATTTACAAAAAGGTCTGGTGCTATGTCAATGCTTGCTATTTTCTTTATCAAGCATTTACGATCTTCCAGCTGCTGATCTATTCCTGTAAACCATCTGGGAGACAATATCCATTCCCGTACTCTGCCTAGCTATATTTGAACTGTAAAATAATAGCCTAATAATGTTAGCTAACAAGTATTAGTTGCTTACTATGTTCCAGTTCCAAGGCTTCCTATACATTCTATATACGACTTCATTGATTCCTGCCGATCAGAGGCAAGGATTATTCTGTCCGTTTTACTAATATGGAACTTGAAATTAATAGGGTTACTTGTCCAGGGTCAAAAGCTATGTGGCAAACCTGACATTCTGGCTCACATGGTAACCACCACGCTTCTCTGCTGCTAGCAAGGACTGTGCTCCCATAGGAGCAGTAGGGCAGAATACCACCAACACTTCTACAGGTGAAACCGGGTTAAAACGCACATCAATTAACCAAGAATAGGAGATATAAGTTACAAAAGGAGGATAAAACTCAAGATTTATAAGTGGGAACAGTACTATTAACCCAATTTTGGGGGGGGATAAATACAAGAACCTCTCAATCCTCTGCCCCTATCTCCTCCCCTTCCCTGTACCACCGACCCTACGGTGATCATAATTGACATTTAATATTTTAGTTTCTTGTTAATTTTTTCTTACTGTTTTCTGTAAAGCATTCAGAATAATCCATTTGGGTATATCTTCAGGCATGTCTTTAGATCCATACTCAGTAATGATTAAGTCAATTTTATCATGCCATACTTGGTGAACCTGTTAAAAATTGCATCAAAAGTCAAAATCTGAAATCTTATGGTATTTGTCCTTCTCTGACTGACTTATTTCACTTAGCATGATACTCTCTCACGCCATCCACATCACTGCAAATGGCAAGATTTCATTCTTTTTTATGGCTGAGCAATATTCCATTGTATATATAATACTAAGTTCTATACCTGAAACTAATATTACACTGTATATAAACTAACTGGAATTTATTTATTTATTTATTTATTTATTTGACACAGAGAGAGAGCCAGCTAGAGAGGGAACACAAGCAGCAGGAGGAGAAGAGGGAGAAGCAGGCTCCTGGCTGAGTAGGAAGCCCGATGCAGGGCTCGATCCCGGGACCCTGGGATCATGACCCGAGCCGAAGGCAGATGCATAATGACTGAGCCACCCAGGCGCCCCTAAACTAACTGGAATTTAAATAAAAACTTGGAAAGAAAAAAGGTCAAAATCTGTGAGAAACTTTCCTTATGGTTCTTAATAAAAGAGTATTCTAGTCAGTTTGTTCCTTTCTGCTTATTCCTAAGTGTTTTCTTTTTCTTCTTTATAACTATTTTTAGCAATCTCAGTGAGTGCTAAGGCATTTGGTTTTTTGCATTGTAATCTATAGGAGGAATATATGAGACTTATTTTATGATTAGGGAGAAAGTTATGTGTTATTCGCCTGAATGTCTAAGGATTCTGCTTTTCTTCTTGGACCCTCAGAAAAAAATTGTAAAAAACTTTGAAATGGACCAAAAAAGATTACTGAGTATCTTTTCAATGGAAATTAGGCTTGTTTTAGCATAACTTTAGGGTCTTCTTATTCTATGGGGGTCTGTACCTTTCTCAGTTTTTAACTTACTTTACAACTTTAGTAAGTTGTAGGAAGCTATAGTTAGACAATTGATTCTTTGTCAGAGAAGTTACAAATGAATTTTTCCTAGTGGGGTGCAACTGGTATCTCCCCTACGAACCATGTTTTGTATATATTAAGAAATGGCCTTTAGGGGTGCCTGGGTGGCTCAGTTGGTTAAGTGGCTGCCTTTGGCTCAGGTCATGATCCCAGGGTCCTGGGATTGAGTCCTGCATCGGGCTCCCTGCTCAGCCGGAAGCCTGCTTCTCCCTCTGTCTGCCACTCTCCCTGCTTATGCTCTCTCTCTGTCTCCGTCTCTGTCTCTGTCTCTCTCTCTCTGACAAAAGTAAATAAAATCTTAAAAAAAAAAAAAAAAGAAATGGCCTTTATAACTGTCTTTTCTTTGGACTCTTCTCTGAACTGGTTTTCATTTCTTACCAGTTCCCACATTAATAAACATGTTAAATAAAATCATTGACCTGTGCCTACTGTATATTTATACAAGAATTATGATTTTTAATTGAAAAAAATTATCCTTTCAAAATACTATAACAAAAAACAATCAGATTTGAAAGTTTGGGGGGAAACTACTATTTCAAAATCTAGATATTGCAGAGGTAAATTTTAATAGTAACTTACTTAAATATTTAAAAGTTTATATGACTTTCATAACTAAGGTAAAAGGTAGAAAGAATGGATAGTATTCCCATTTTATGAACAAGGAGATAAATACTCAGAGAATTTAGTTATTTGCTTTGTTTACATGAATCATGATGAGGAGCTGAGACTTCTAAATATGGTTCATTTGGGGGCGCCTGGGTGGCTCAGTTGGTTAAGAGACTGCCTT